TCCCCACCGTGTGGAGCTAAAGCCCGAGCCCACCGATGACGGAGACCCAATTCCCACCACGATCTACGAGCCAGCGCAATGCCGAGCGACTGAGCGGAGGATCGCCACGGAAGTAGAGCACAAGCCGTCAGACCAGGTGCGAGAGCCGGCGACAATGCCCGCCACGAGGGAGAAAGCAGTTACCTCCGCCCCTGCACTGCGGCTGAGGGTGAGCTGAGTATGGTGTGGCGAAAGTGCCAAAGCGAAGAGGAGAGGGCTCCAGTCCCCGAATCCAGTCCAGAGCACCCTCCAGTGTCCGCTCCTCCTGAGCGCCATCCTGTTCCCGTGTTCAGCCTAGAGGGGGCTTCCGAACCAGAGTTAAGCCCTGAATGCCCGGAGACGCACAAATGCCCACCCTCTCCTGCCCTGTCGGTTCTACTTATGTTCATGTTTTTCCTGCCATTCCCAGTGTTGGATGTACCCTGTGTTTCTTGGATTAAAGACCGTTTCGTTTATTCCTCGTCTCCATCGTTCCTCGCCATCACAGATTGTGACAATAACACGTTCTGCTAATAAAATCATTTGCAAAGAAAAACAGTGTATAAAACAAATGTAAAATATACCGTTCAAAAGTTTGGGTCAGTACATTTTTTGAAAGAAATAAATAGTTTTTAATTTTAGCAAGGATGCAATAAAATACATCAAAATTGATAGTAAATGCATTATAATGTTTCTATTTTAAATTTTAGTATTTCCACAAAATTACGCACAGCAGTTTTCAACATTGATAATGATTAAAAAATGTTTCTTGAGTATCAAATCAGCATGTTAGAATGGTTTCTGAAGGATCATGTGACACTGAAGACTGAAATAATGGCTGCTGAAAATTCAGCTTTGCCATAACAGGCATAAAATTACATTTGAAAATATATTAAAAAAGAAAATGGTTATTTTAAATTTTAAAAAATATTTCACAACATTACTATTCTCTTAATCAAATAAATGCAGCCTCAAAAAAGCTCACATCCTCATTAATGTCTACAATTTAAATTTATTCCTAATTCTAGCCCTAATAAGCCACCAACTGAGAGGTCTAAATCTTCCAGCAAGCAGTTCCCCTGCATCAGAGAACTGGTATTGGTTGTTTTCTTGATTTACAGTTTCCTACTCATCTGTCCTCTAACGCAGCGGCTGCTATTACAATTCCTGTCTGTTCTTCTTCTGTTTCTGCAGCCCCCTGGCCAAAATAATCTGTCTCTGCTTCGGTGGCCTATTACTCATCCTGATCTGCCTCTTCCCAGCTAAACATGAAATGTCAAACCTCAATATTGTCACTTTATAGAGTCTGCTAAAAGTCATATTTCACTATATTCTCCTCAGCAGTTTTCTTCACCCAGATTGACAAGAGCCAGAAAGTGCATCTCGTTTCAAATGCAGAGCTTTGGTATCAAATCACTGTTGATCTTAACCCATCCATCGTACATTAGCCAGAATAAACAGCCTGGCCCCAACTCAGCACACAGGGCTTTAAAAACATTGCAAAAATTACTCACTTCCATACACACTTCACCCATACATACACACCAGGGAGAGAGTGAGAGAGACAGAAACAAAAGAAAGAAATCTGCACATTAGAAGTGTCTTCTGTATGTTTGCATGTGTGTGTTCGTATGTGCTTGAATGTGTGCACCTGTTAGCTTGCTGTGAAAGCTGGACCTCTGTTTCCATGTGCTTGATGTCTGTGTTAACGTTGGTTTTGTCCAGCAGCAGAGTCTTTCTCTCCGCCTCCAGCGCACTCACACGAGCCAACAGCTCTTCAACCTCACTATTCTTCAACCTCTCATGATCCTGCAGCTGTCTGAAATGCAAACGCATAGGCGACTGAGTGAAAAGCTTATAGAAAAAAAACACAAGGTTAAAGCATTCACCTTTATAAATGGAGTAAACAGCTTTTCCAAGGTTCTTTCAGTAATCGTGGTTTATGTTTGATATGGCATCTTGGAATAAACTGACACCTACAAAAGTGTTCAGTTAAAGATGCATTTTGTGTCTAAAGCAACATAAACTGTCTGTATGTTTGAGTGTGTGTGTGTGTGAATGAGTAAGTGTCCTTGTGTGTGATGAGTACATCTGTGCTTTATCACTATTCTATATTTTCATTTGTCACCTCACTCACACAGACAGTGTGTAGGGTAAGAATGTGTAGGCTGTTTCTTTCACAATTCAAACTGTCAGGTTAAAAAAAAAGAACTCCCTTTATCTTTCTCTAGGTTAGTTCCGAAATTAATGAGACATCCTAGAAAAATTACAACTATTTACAATTTACAACTATTCTGTCTTTTTTATAAAACTTCTGCCTTCCAGACTTAGACTAATCAATAAAGAAGTTAAAAAAATACATATTTTTCCAAGAAAACTCAATCCACAAAAAAACACTCTCAAACTCAAAATTTCTATTCTATTAGCATGAAATGCATGTTTGGTACCTTTTGAGTTTGTCAGTCACAGCATTATGTTCAGCCAAGCTCAGAGAGTGTTCTAGAGCCAAGCGAATTCTCTGAAACTCTGTCTTCAGGGCATGGTGCTCTTTACGCTCCACCTCTAGCTCTTTTTCCAGAGCCTGTTTCTCTGACTCCAACAACATCAGCTGTTTAGAGACTTTACACACTACACACAAATAAAGAAGTGTTTTAAATTTGTATCTATATGAATAATAAGCATGCAGTATATGCAGAATGAAGACAGTAAGGAACATAGTAAGGATACAGGTATAGAAGATATAGTACATGTAGGAAATCAGGATCTTAAGATTAACCATCTCTAAGAAAGATGAGATCTCCTATATATCTCAAACAATTCTTATCCTTACTGTGATTCCAGCATTTTAATATTAGTGCGCTGTATTATTTGAATATATTAATTCATAATTTAAATACTTGTAAGTCATCCTGTGGCCCCATTAGAAGTTTTCTAAGGGCTCTAGTTTAGAACACCCATAACACCCTTAACAATAACACCCGTTTTCAGCTAATGAGTGATGAAAACATTAATAATCAATCAAAATCAATCTGACTTGAAATGCTCACTGAGTTGTTGACAGCAAATGTCATCATCTTTTGTTGTCAACACTAATATAGATATTATAGTTATCGTTTTTGATGTGAACAGAACTTTAGTTCATCCCCAAACTCAATCCATTGGTTGACACATTGCAAACAGCATTGTTTTGATGCATTTACATATTTCAGGGGGAATCAATCTACGAAAAGCTTACGAGACCATTAAGTTGGGGTAGGAGCTTTCATGTTTAAGCTGATACTTATAGTAAAATTAAGAAATATATTATGTTCTCTTGAGCTACAAAAAAGCTAACTTTAGCAATTAAAGGGGTGGTTCATTGCGATTTAACTTTTTAAAGTTAGCCAAACTGATAAGCGATATTAACGACGCCTTTGTTTACAATACAACCGGAGCACATGCTGCTGAGGAGTGGGGCGGGACGTTTAGACACACACTAGAAGCAGTTTAGCCAATCACAACACACTGGGCTAGCTAACCAATCAGAGCCCATCACCTATTTCTGAGGGAGGGGCTTCATAAAAGAAGGAAATGATCAGCGTGTTTCTCAGAGAAGGGACAGAGCGGTGTGGAATAAAGGTAAATTATGTGAAAAATAATGCGTTTTTTAAAAAACGAAGCATTAACACATGTTAGACTGCACCCCATAAACACAATCAAGCCTAGAAAAAAAACAGTGAACCACCCCTTTAAATATTCTTCTTTTCATGAAGTAATTATCATAGTAGCGCCTGTATCTGAAATCCACAGCATTAATCTTGAGCTGTTTTTGTTGTGTAACTATCAGTTGAGACTACATCTGCTGTCAGACTATCCTCAAAGCCAGTCTAGATGTTTTGTATGGCTCTTAGGAGGCAAAATAATAATAAAAATCCAAGAGCATTAAGAGGTATTAGGTGTGATTGTGTGTACCATACCCTCCTGTGTATGTTTGCTGTGGGCTTCTTTAGATTTGGCATGCTGTAATTCCAACTGCTCTATCAATACTTGATTCTCCTCCAGCACCAAGCGAGCCTGCTCCTGCAGGTGCCTCCTACACACATCACACACACACACACACACACACACACACACACACACACACACACACACACACACACACACACAA